AGTTTTCTGTCATTAGTTTTACATTTATGTGAATATATAATTAAGAGTAATAGTTTGTAATTTGAATTGTATTTTTTATTTTTATAGCTATTATTGGTTTTATCATCTTACATTTTGTAACTATTTTTAAGATTTTAAGTCTTTTTTAGCGAAAAATAAAAAAGTTCTATTTTGTATATTTATATAATTTTTATGTGCATATTTAAAAATATTTGTTGTATAAAAATTTGGGACCTAATCATCATTAAATTTCAAATTTAAACAGCTCTACTGATTATGATGGCCAGTTTTTCTAGTTTTATAACATGAAATTAAAAATCAACTATTTTAAGTTATTTTTATGTATTTTTGGTTATACATATGTACGTTATAGTCTATATTATATGTATTTTTAATAATTTACTTTTAATTTGCAGGATATGTAATATAAAAAATGAGTACCAAAAAATGATTGATGTTTATCTAAAATTATATTATGGATAATTAATAACAATCTATGTTCATTAAAAATGTATTAGTAATTTTTTATAAAAACCATATTATTTTATAAATTAATGTTGAAGTCATCCATCTTTATACCAACCAAAATGAATCTTGAATTTGTCTATAACTTCCTTAATACTAATATTTCAGAGGAAATGTTTTGAAATACAATTTATTTATATTGATTTCTTTGAAAAAAAATCCTACAAAAGAATTGAATGGGCTCTTTTCACGATTCATAACATATTTTTATAAAATTACTAGCTGACCCGGCAAACGTTATTTTACCATACAAATTATATTTAATGAATATTTTGATATTCAAATAAAAAATAATTAAATTATTGTAAGTGAGAGGGAATGTTGTATACTGGTATATGACTGAGATGAATGGAGCACTGTGAATGATAACGGCCCATAAAAATAACAAAACACCAAATATCCTCACCACCCATAAAGTAAATTTGTAAAAATGTATGTGGTTCGTTTGGCATTGGTAGCAATGAGCCCACTCTATGATAAACTTGGCCTTTGATTTTGAATGTTGAATTAAATTGTTGACCATTTGCAGCATTATTTTTAACTATTTCTGTTGCTCCGAACGATGCCATTTGGAAACATGAATTGAATGTTCGAATTAACTTCAGTAACAGGTTAGAATCTGGATCCGTACCGATAAGTAACCCGTTCAATGGTTCAGGTGGTGTTTCAATTTCCGGTAGTTGCACTTTTCCTAACGCGCAACACATACCGGCTGGCTCATTTTTGAACTTAAGCGCATTACAATGCGGACATTCCTTGTCCATAGCACCAATCACTACTTTCGAATGAACGTAATATTTAATATCGGGCCCATACTCGAATGCTAGACGAAGAAATGATATGGATGTAAATGCTCTATGTACTTGTTGGCGTTGTCGGTCATTTGCTCTGCGTATGTCAACTACGAATTGATGCGCTTCTAATCGTTTTTTTTAATTTTGTTCAGCTTGTGCCTCACGCAATCGCACCATGTTCACACGTACATTTTCATTATTCGGTTATGCTCTTCTATCTCGCATGATTGTACTTTTGGTTGTTCGACGGGCCAAATCAGACCCCTTGCGTCTTGCTGGCATTATACAAAATACACAAATCGATACAATTACAGTTCATATATGTGATTATTAACCTTTCTTATAAATGAGAGAGAAAGCTGATTGTGTTGGATTGACCCACTCTACGGTCGAGTCGTTTCTGATGAATTCGTTAAATGCGACAAACACGCGGTTGTTTAATATTATGAAAAGAGATGGAAACGTATTCTACGTAAATATACAATTTATGGTTCCCTGGCAATAACTGTTGTATATTATTTTGTTTATTATTTTTATATTTTATTTTATTTTTTTTTAATTTTCCATCGCCGTTATCCAACAGTTGTTATAAATATTTGTGGTGAGCCACCCTTTACACCTAGGGGTATGAAAAATAGTTTACATCACTCTCTGCCTCCTACTTAATATCCAAAAAAGATTTCATGAAAATCGGTCCAGCCGTTTCGGAGGAGTTTGGTAACAAAGTTTGTGACACAAGATTTTTATATATTAGAAGACAAAAATAACCATTTATTTTGTTAATAATAAACCAAACAAATTTTTAGTTACGTACTTATGCAGTATTTAGAAAAACGTGTACCACATTAACATCGATTTTATTAATTAACTAATCATGTTACTAGATTGTTTAATATAAAACCATTATTCATAGTACCTATAGAATAAGTGTAATCGTTATTCTTTGTACATATATTTTTACACCAAAAAAGGAAAAAGTATGTCCTATTTATTTTAAAAGTAGACGTTTAACATATTAAATCAAAGATGGAATTTCAATTAAAAACTTAGAGTGATGATACTTTTCTGTTAGTCTTGTAATCACGCTGATCAATTTCATCGTTCAGTTTTCACATATTTAGTAATACTTATATTTATATTGTTCATTTTATAATACGAAATAATTAACTACGGGTGGCATACATTGTGAGAAAGCTAATTAAAAACACCGGGGGTGCTAAGCACATCCAAAGTCTCCCCTTAAATCATATTTTCGGATGAAACATTAAATTCAAACAAATCGGCTTTATTAAAGAATACGCTTTAGAATATGATTTAAACAGTTTAATATTTTTTCTATCTAGAATTTAAATTTCAGACCATATAAACTGTGATCCAAGAACTTTGATATGATTAAAATAAATAAGGGCCACGTTTATGAGCCAACTGAGGGCTCATAATCCATACCTCCATGTTTTAAAGTAATTATGGTCATTTAACTAAATTCTATCAAATAAGTATTATACCTGTAATGTAATAAACTTTCGTACCATTCTGTAGTTTATTTTAAAAGTTAGTAGATACCTATCGTTAAAACTACAGTAATACATCGTTAACCCGACATCCGCCAGTCTAACAACCCATAGGTACTCTAAAGCAGAGATCACCAAATGGCGGCCCGTGTGCGACATACGGCTTGCAAACAAATTTTATCTGGCCCGTAGACAGAGAATAAATAAATAACATACATTACGACAACATTATATAATATTTTATTGTATTTATAATTAATTTTTATTTTAAATTGTTTTAAATGTTTATAATATTAATTATGTTCTTAATGTTTATAAGCAATAGCAAATAAAAAATAAAAAATAATGTTCTCATCAAATCAAATTTTAATTTTTAAAATAATACCTATTATATGTTAAATATATGTATTTAAAATTTTGATGGCCCGCGAAATATTTTCATATTTCTAATGTTGCCCTTCAAAAATATTAATTGGTGACCCTTGCTCAATAATAATCCGACTAAGAATACTAAAATTATCTTTCTCATTTTCGGAAAGTGCCAATTATAAATATGACTTTATTAATATAAATATCTGATATGATTTATAGAAGCCTATAAAATACGTCATATGTTTAAAATTTTTAACCATTTAAAAATGTCAAATATTTTTTTATTAAACTTAGTTATTAAATTTAGGCCTGAATGACACAAGAACTGTTTTTGGTAAAACTACCTCTTAATAATCCAAATAATTTCTAACCGATAACTATTGGTTTTATATATAATTGACTAGAAAGGTCATATTGTTTTTTATGTTTTTTTTCGAATACTGGCATAAAAATAACAGGTTAAAAAATGTTGTTATTTTTGTTTTTCCTGATCATAAAGAATAGTATTAACATTTTTACTTTTTATCACCAAAGTACCAAAAAAAAAAGATTTTATAATAATATTTAAGCCATGCAAGTAGTTGATAAAATAATAATTATTCAATATTAATTAAAATAGCGAGGGAACAATATTCCTTCCTATCTTCGGCCACTCTTGGGTGTTATTGGATAGAAGCTAGGGAGCAGAATATTTTATATTGACCAAAATCGTAACAACAATATGTTCGTTTTTTTATGTCTTAAAACTCATTTATTGGAAATAACTTGTAGGTATAAGTCATAACGTTAAATAATAGCTTATTAGAAATATCAAATATAATACCATAACTTGTTTGAAAAAAATAATGCGATGATAATCTTGTAATCATAAAAAGTTAATGAAATAATATCATTAGGTTTTTTTTGTAACCCAAAATATAGAAAACTTTGATTATTTGTAAGCATGATATGATACAGCATAAAAACCATGAAATAAATGTAGGAACTAATTAGAGGGAAAAAATATTTTCATGTCATAAACGTACTGCATTATTTTCTATTTTAGAAGATTTGAAGATTTCTACTTTGGCATATCTGTGTGTGTGTGTGTGTGTGTGTGTGTGTGGGGGGGGGGGGTAATATGAGACTTTCGATTTCTCTCGCTTTCCTTACAATCACATTACCGATTATCATGCTTATCTCTGTCTATACAAATTATGTTTAGACAACTTCACGGATGACACGCACCTCGGGAATTCTGCAGAATTCCGATTGGTCTCCATCGAAGTGATAACCGCTCATTGGGGGGTACACTGCTATAGTGCTAAGTCGCCCCTTGTGTTGTGTGCCTCTTATCGTATTGGCCGGTCCGCTAGTACGGATACTAAACAAACTATTAACCGAGAAATTTTAAGAATTTTCAAGAGCTCAACTTTTGGACGCGACACGATACAGCACGACCGGACGTGGCAGCTGTGAACCCGGCTTTATTTTTAAATACGTACTATTAGGTGCTCTATGGACGCGCACGCGCGGGCTGGTTTTTATTTTTAATAACAATATATACTACGCCGCGTAAGCATAATAATAATAATAATAATATTGTCGACTACGCGTTGGCATTAATTCTGTTGGTGGCGAGAAAACGAACAAGTGCCACGACGTGGTCCGGGCTACGGAAAGTCGCGAAGAACGGGAAAAAATAATATTTGTAATCCTATACCGCCGCCGTCGTCTGCAGAGCAATAGCTGACTTGTCGTCGTCGGAGCCGGCGCAGCCAACACGACCGGACGAACGCGGCGGCAGCGGGTCTGCGATTCTATTTTTAACGTGCCGGAGCGAGACGCAGTCGCACCGCAGCCGGAACCGCAGCGCGCCAGTATCGACGCGCGATCCGCTGGCCGCGAAACGATCCGCCAAACGCGAAACGATCCGTCCAACGTGAAACGATCCGCCCGGACGCGTAACAACGATCCTCCAACGCGGCGCCTCTACTGGAGCAGTCAAGAGACCAACGACGGCGATTTATTTGACGACGACACGATAACATTGTTGATATTGCACCGTCGGAATAGATCGTAAGACCGTCGCGGCAACCGGACGGGGAACGACCCGCCGCGCACCCATCTATTGCACCATCCGCCCAAGACCGCACGCCATGGGTCGACATGAGTGACCTCGCCGACACCATCGACGATCTCATATGTAGTTTCGAAAGCGATGGTAGCAAGACGATGGACACGTTGATCATGTACCTGTTCTGCTGGGCGCTCGTCGGTTTCGCCGCGCTGGCCGTTGGCAAATTCGCCTACGGCCGGGTCGCCCAGTATGCCGGCCGCAAATCGACCGCCGCCAAAACGGCCGCCACGGAACCGGAAGCGGCGACCGCTGGTGACCGGAAACCGTCGCAGCTGCACCACCACCGGGTCGTGCCGCCCACGCCGCCGGTGGCCCGCAAGCGGTTGGGCTCCAAGACGGGCCGCACGTCTGCGGCCGTGGCTAGCGTTGCGGCCGGTCTGTCCGCCGTGCCGGCCGCCGCGGCCGCCAGCAAGGCGTTTTCGTCAGAACAGCAGCAGGCGCACCACCACTATCCGCAGCACCAACGCCGAACGCCGCCCGCAGCCACCGGAAACGATCAGGACGCTGTCCGCTGGACGAACGACGTATTCAAATGGCTGTATGATGTGGCCGCGTCCGGCGGTGGCGAATCGTCGGCTGTCGACTATCTGCTCGGCGAGTGGACGTCCGCTCTCAATGAGTACACAAAAAAATCGTTCGCCGAAGTGAGTGTCCATTTTATAATATCGTAATGATACAATAAAATAATTTATTAATATTATAACGTCATCGACGACACGAAAATTCCGATCTTTCAGTATGCGCGCAAAAAACGTCGAGAAAAAAATTGTCGACGATTTACGAAAACAAATTTTAAAGCTATATTAGTTAATTTTATTTTGAAAACAATTAAGTAGAAATTCAATATTTTCAAAAATATCGTTTAAATTGTTAATGTCTTGCCACATTTTAGGTTTTTTGAATGATATTTAATGTATAATATATAAGTAGATTTATAGTATGTAGAACATGTAGAAGGTTTAAGTCTACGATGAATATAGGCAATGACATATTAGAAATGTTATCAAAATATTATCATGATAATTGATAGCTAAACTTTCTTCGAATTAGATAGGCTCTAAAATGTCAAAATTGTACATTTGTCATACATATGAGATTTATTCGAATGAATGATATTATAACAATATTATTATCGATCGGTAAAAAGTACAAATGACAAATCGAATTATACTGTTTTTTTCCAAAACCAAAAGTATGTTTATATTACCATTTATGTATAGCTATGGTTAGAGCTATTTATAAAATCATTTAAGTTTAAAATTGGGATTGTCACGAATAAATTGTATGTACCGCCTTTATTATTGCTTATATTATGTTATCTGAATAGGCTTATATAATACATTTGTTCAAAATTCCATCTTTGATAATATTATTGTTATTGTAATAGTAATATTAAAATTTTATGAAATTAAACAAAACACTCATCTTTATTTTTTATCGTCTTTAATGAGAAAAATAATATTTAAAATTAAAACACCTGTAGAAAATATTTGTAAGCATACTAACTATTACTGAAAAATAGATTTTAGATCGTGTTATCTGTATGGAAATAAATTAATTTAATAACTGATAAGCAATACTAATGTTGTTTATTTGTAGAATTCGAATTTTATAACGTTAAAAAATACTCAAATATGCACTAGTATATGTCATAAGTAATAAGTGAAAAAAATATTAAAAAAGTTTATCGTTTTCAAATTATTATTTTTTTTTATTTTACAAATTAATTATAAAATTAATTTAAAAAATGGTTTTTACATTATTTGATATATACTTACATTAAAACACATATGATTTCGCCAAATAAAAATTATATTACAGTAATTTTCGATAATTAATTTCTTATTTTTCGTAATGTTGAATCTAGACTCATCTGTAAAAACAAAAAAAAGGTACAATCATTGTAAAGCTAAGTAAACCGATAAAATAATTTTTTAAGCATAAAAATATTATTTTCTACTATTGGTATTTAGGAGACATTCATGAAAAAAAGTTGCGACCAATTTTTTTCAGTCGTTCAATGATTAAAATTGTAAAATTAATTATAACTAACTCAAAAATGTACAAAAGTTGGTGAGTAAGCGTAAAAAGTCAAAATATGTCCTTTAAACCATAAATTGGTTTAAAACGTATGAAATAATATTATACTTACATTCTGTATGTCATGAAAAAAATGTATAACTTACTTGGTTATTTTATGAAACATTCTACAGTATATGTATTTAGTATAAAATACGAGCCCTGCTTAATAAAGTTATAATTTCACATAGTAACGACTTTCTTATTGACTTATATAGAAGGCTAAAAGCAAAAGTTACAATCATTACTTTTCTCCTAAATCAAAGTAAAAAATACGTCTTTTGACTAAAATAATATTATTATTATTATTTTTAATATAGATTTTAGTATTCAACAGCAATGATTGTTATAACTATAGTTGGTTTTTACTGTAAAAGAGGGTAATATTTTTTTTGGCAAGAATTTGTCACTAAAACTCCGGATGGTTGTGTATCCGGGAGCTAGCAACACCGGCCGATGCTTGACCTTAGAACACGTTAGTGGCTGAGATCAACCCCCGTGGCATACGCCAGGCCACCGTAATATTATTATTTTAAACATTATTATAATTCACATCAAGCTTATAATATACAATAATATTGTTATATATAGGTACCAAAAACATTAAATCCGCCTGTGCGATAATTTTACTTATTTTTATTTTATTTGATCGATGAATCAAAAATGTTTTAAAAGTGCCATTTGCATTTTAAATAGGTGTAAGTATTTATTATGTTATCGTAGTATTAAGGTGATTTATTAATTCAAGTAATGTATTTACCTAATCAATAAGCGTTTGATGAAAATTAAATTTTTTTCATTTTGGCGATCATCACTGAAACCGACTGGTGCGGATAAATAGGATTTATCTTTCACTTTGTTTTGTTTGTCCGAAATCACTGCACTTGTGCAGTGGTTTTTATGGAATAACGCCGGTTTATTTCGTTTCGGGTGTAACCAAACACTTCAGGCACACCCGTCTATACGTACCGAGTGCGATTTTGAAGAAGCTACGTTCTTTTTGTGTACGTCATAATAATATGATCATTGTTTTAACGCTATACGGATAAAATAACAAAGACATTTTATTATTTATTAGTTTTATATTATTATATTATTTATATTATTATGTACTTATATTGCGATATATTATCCATGTATAATTTATAGTAATATTGTGTTATGCTAGATCATCCGTATATTCCAAATCCTTTGAATAAACGTACAAAGTTTTGGTGTAATAAGGTTTTAGACGAAAATTGATGTAAATGTTTTTTTTTTTCATTATTATTTCACATTATATATTACAATCTGTTCCCTAGGGTACAATAAGAGTATTTGCTACTGAATAAAGAATATGAAAAAAATATGAAGGAAGAAGCCACTCAGTGATGACACTATCTGTTGATTATTTATTGATTATTTTTTTTAGAATTAACTATCAGATCTCTGTACTATTTTTTTTTTAGTCATCTTGGGGTATCATCAGATATTGAAAGAAAGGATAGGCTAGTAATAAGGGGATTTAGATGTGAGTAGAGTCTGGCATGTTATCTTTTAAAGTAAGTAATGGCTTCTTCATGGATGGTTTTAATTTTTAAATTCATATGGTGAGATAGATTAATTATGTAATATGGGGCATTAGTTATGATTCGTAGGCTTTTATTTTGTAAAGTTTGGATTTTAAAATGTAAAAATTAAAATTGATAAGCATGTCATAAATTGAAAAAAAACCAAATAGTATTTCATACATATAACATCCAAATAAGATTGTAATTCACTACATAAAAAAATATTTTTTGTTGTGTACCATGTTCATTGCTTTGATATATTACCAGTTTTTTAATATTAAGTTCTTTATTCTTCACCTTTATAGACAAATTAAATTTGTTTTCATTTAAACTTTTTATGTGTTTTGAATAATCACAAGATAGTATTATATTTATTAATAAACAATTAATAATATTTATTTAAAAAAAAAATAACTAACTATTATGTAACTTGGTTTAACTCTTTAACTGCCTTGCTAATTGCCCAGTTTTCAACTCCATATAACATTATGAAACCAAAGACATAACATTATTAATTATTATTTATTACATAATTTGATGTTATATTAATATTTTATAGGAACCACGCACTCCTATTGTAGACTAGACACTGGACTGTACGTACTCCGATAGACTTCTATTTTGTTTTTATTTAGTAGTTTAGAGTGTGAGTGTTTGGAAATTCAATGCGGTTCATGTATGAGGTAACACGATCGACACGACAGGACGTGCCAAACAGCGTAAAATATATAATAATAATAATAATTGATGTATAATAATATTATGTTTGATATAGGTTTGGGCAGTGTATAAACAACAGACTGCGCGAGGTCCAAACGAATTGCGTACACCGTACGGCGTGATAATTTCGTATTAGATTTAAATATATTCACGACTTGTAGCTGCACGTTAATTGTGCAAAGCAGTGTACATGATAATGTAACATATAATACTGCAATAAAGTGTTTGTACTGCCATAAATTAGTAATAATTCCGTTTATATTATTTTAGTAATTACTGGACGAGATAATCCGTTAGTCATTCATTTAGCAAGATCCGTTTTTTTAAAATATGTATAGAACTAAGCCAGAGGATATTGTAGTATATCGTATTATACCTTCCTGAATTTTGAACGTAGCTGACGGAGAGCTGTGATTACTCATCCTATTATGTCTGAGGTCTTATATGAGATAAAAAAAAATAAATATAGTAATTATTAACCAAGGTTCAACTTTTTAACTTGTAAAAGTTTCAAGTTGAATAAAAAAAGTAACTTGACTTATTTATTTGTGTAACTGAATATTATTAGTTTTATTTAATAAATTATTATGTGATTAAATATGAATTAATACAATTATATTTATTTTGATCGTAGGTTAGTTTCTTACCGTTTCTTACCACAATCAACTACCTAATGCAACATACCTACAATTAGTTATTGTATTAAATAGAAAATACTTCATATAATAGCAAGAATTAAAAAGAAATAATGGTTTTGCTATTGTGTGTTTTTTTTTTTTTTTTTTGAAAAATTATTTTAAATCAGTTAAAGCTTTCAAAAGCCTTCACATATAATTTAAGAGTAGGTTGAAGTATATAGTAGCTTTCATAAATTACAGAAGTGGGAAGGACATAAATGAACATAACGATTTTTTTCTCCAGACACTTACTTGTTAGTAGCTCCATGGTACTAAGTTTTTATTCTTTATGAATCGTATTAAAAAAAAAATTAATTATAGAGTGTAAAAAAGTTAATTAGAATTTATTATTTCATAAATAAAAAACTAATATTGTTTATCATCTATGTCTAGGGAAGAATATTTATGATGCCTACGTGAAAGAATTATTTCTGTGGCTCACAAGCAAAGCAGTTTTGCGTACCGTGGAATTTGTGCAATTTCCACCTATAACAATATAAACATTTTCTCTATAATAACAACAGTGTCTATATGCCAAAATTTAATGTTTTATAAAAATAAAGCAGATTTTTGACAATACAATTAATGATAAGCAAAGTAGAGCAAGTTAATGGGAAA